AAGTTTTCATACGAATATTAACGAACTCATTATTATGTACTTGATAATTACAATTATATTTAGAAACAAATTTTAATTTAATATATTAATATTTTTGATTTCTGAATATTAATTTTGACAAAATTTTCTAATACCACGAATTTCCCACATTAGGTTAGAAAAGTGAGTCAATTTGACTGCATCATTGATAAATTTTCAAAAACCCAAATTTTATACAATATTTCTGAATTTGCCAAATTTCGGTATCAAACGATTTTTTGCTAAAAAATGCCTACAAATAATATCTGATAACTTTTCTCTCGGCAGCTCTAATTTTTTTCCTATTTCTCCTAATTTTTATTCCAATTTATTTTAACATTATCTTGCTAAGTAAGTTTGCTTATCATTATAATTATTTTCATACTTTTTTTGATACAGTTCTTATTTATAGATTTGGGATTTAAAAAAAATTGAAACGGATATTTGAAAGAATTTTTACGTTCAGAAGAATATCAAGATCTATTATGTTGCCTTAAATTATCACATTATCATAAGTAGTTTCTCTTTAAATTATCATTGCATTGCGTAATAGTAATGTTTAGGCTTAATATTGTTTAAGCTTTGTATTTTATTTTAAAAAAATAAATTGAGATGGTTTGTTTTGTAATGAGTAATCCATAAATTTCTACATCCGAAATAAATGAAGTATATAGAAAAATAGTATAAAAGCATAATCCACAAGGTGCAAAGTGCTGATTAGGTGAAGAGCTATTATATCAAATTTAATGTTTTAATATATTATTGAAACTATTAATATCTGATATCTAAACATGAGACGGAAAAACCGATCATTTTGACTAAATAGAAAAATTACATTAATGATTATATTCTATTAATAGCATAGATAAAATCTACAAATAATTAATCACCTTCATGAACAATCGCCTTATTATACCATTGTGTATTTTTACAGCTGCATTTGCCGTTCAATAAAGTGTAATATAACTACAATCAAAAGAAATTGAAAAATTCAGTCTGAGATACAAGAAGAAAACACAGAGCCACCCAAATATCAAGGCCAAAAATTTAGTTAAGTACTATGCTCAAAAGAAAACGGCTACTTTCTGAAATCTTTTACTAAATTTGGATACACATTATTCTATTATGTACTGTGTACTAATTTATAATACTACAGCTACTATCGTAGGCTTTATTAACTTCCCGTAGGATAAGTTATTGTAATTTCTCGACGTTTTGAAGGTTTCTGAACATTTTGGCTACCTCAGAAAAAATGGATGTGTGTGTGTGTATGTATGTATGTATGGATACAATTTTTCGTTCACGTTTTCGGGCGCACGGATCAACCGATTTGAATGGTTCAAAAAACATTCGATTCCTATTGATAGGGAGATGTGCTGATTAGTTTTTGGCAAAGGCAGGACCAGCAGTTACGGAGATAAAGAGCAAAGAGTGCAAAAAATAGAAATCGAGTTTTTGAGAGAACAAAGCATCCGATTTGAATGATCTAAAAAACATTCAATTAGTAATGATTGGGAGAAGTGGTTATTAGTTTTTGGCAAAGGCAGGCCTAGCCATTTCGGAGATACAGAGCTAAATATGCAAAAATGGCAATTTTTGAGAGAACTAAGAGTCCGATTTGAATGATTCATAGAACTTTCTGCTTGTTTTAACAAAATAATTGATTTTCGAAAAAAAAAATTTTTGTTTCCATAGAAAATAATTTAGATTTTAATCGTAATTCTGACTAAAGTTCTAATGTACTTTAAACAAATATGTTTAACTTTGCAGTTCAGTTTATATAATTCTTATAAATATTAGCCAATGTTACAATATTTATCATAATCTATTTGAAAATATTCAATATTTCTCGAACATTTCGTTACGGTACGGGAAGTTCCAGCAATTTGCCTTAAGGCACGATGCCATACACCCCACTAGTTTAATTTTTTATCAGTACCAGTATTATTTCTATAAGCTATACACAAACATCATCAAAAGGGTGACCTTTCGACCCTTTTTCCTTATATAATTAACGATTAAAATTACTGAATGTTGTTAATAACGACAGATTGTAATTCATAAAAGAAAAAAAAACTACAATACAATATCAACACCGTTTTACTTAATTAAATTTTTGTTGATATAAGGAAAAATATTCCCAACACAAAAATTATTTGATGTACTAACAACTGAAACACGCTTACTTTCATATCTAGTCAAATTTCACGAAAATTTTAAATATAAATAATGCGCGCTTTCCTATCACCTGATATATGCATAACAAAGCATCAACATCTAATATACAAATAGATTATAATCAGTAAATAAACTAACAAGACAAGTTCAATGATTTTCACATGACGACATTATAACCTAGATTCTTCGGACATTTCAGCAGAATGAATTAGAAATTGACAGTAGCACGCTTCTGTCTGTCCGTTCGTTGTCTCCTCTAGTTAGCACGTGAGTGCCCCGATCGGTTTGGTTATATGATTGCGATTCATTGACAAAATGTGACAAGTTGTAAAGAATAAATGAATGCTTTAATCGAATTTATATAGCTTTCTTGCGAACCAGTCAAATACCACAGATATACAAGAAAATTCATTAATTATTTCAGTTCTTCGGTTAATATATACCGGTTATTAGATTTTAATATGTAAAGGCCGCACATTTTGTTTGAGCGCGATTAACAAAAAAAAGTTACAATTCAGATAAGTAAACGATTAATTAATATTTATATATGACATCGAAATTTACATACAAAAGCAAAAAAATATACGATAAAAATGTATAAATTTTTGTGTAAATACGATAAAAAAAACTGTGTAACTCGAAAAATTCACTTTAATATGTAAAAACCGTGCTAAACGAAAATCACTATAAAAAAGCCCCTTTTATCAGTTTTTAATATGGTGAATAACTAGTCTTTGGTATCGTACCTTAGGGCAAATTGCTGGAACATCCCGTACCGTAACGAAATATTCGAGAAATATTAACTGTTTTCAAATAGATTATTATAAATACTGTAACATTATCGAATATTTATAAGAATTATATAAACTGAATTGCAAAGTTGAAATTATTTATTCAAAGTATATTAGAACTTTAGCCAAAATTAAAATTAAAATTTGAATTATTTTCGATATACAAAAGAAAAAAAAAAATTAAACAAAAATTTATTTTGTAAAAGCAATTATTTTGTTAAAACAAGCTGAAAGTTCTTTGAATCATTCAAATCGGACGCTTAGTTTTCTCAAAAACTGCCATTTTTTGCACAATTAGCTCGGTATCTCCAAAACGGCTGGACCTGCATTTGCCAAAAACTAAACACAACTTCTCCCAATCATTACAAATTGAATGTTTTTTCGATCATTCAAATCGGATACTTGGTCCTTCAGAAACTCGATTTCTAATTTCTGCACTCTTTGTTCCGTATCTCCGTAATAACTAGACATGCCTTTGCCAAAAACTAATCAACACATCTCCCTATCAATAAGAATCGAATATTTTTTGAATTATTCAAATCGGTTGATCCGTGCGCCCAAAAACGTGAACGAAAAAATGCGGACATATAAAACACACACACATCCATTTTATCTGAGGTATGCCAAAATGTTTAGAAATATTCAAAACGTGAAGATATGCAAAAATTTTCATTTTCGATTTTCGACCCATTACTATAATTATCCTAGGGGAAGTTAAAAAATAATATTGATACATTTAGTATCAAACTCACTTAAGAATATATTAATAGTGGCTTCCAACCTTTATTGCACGGCGACCCCTTGCTCTAATAAAAATAATTGTTATAAAGACTCAACAGATATCAGGTTACACATTAATATGCAATATTATGTAAAAATAAGCATAAAAACTTATTTTTTGTTTATTTTTTTAATAACATTTCAAAAATTTTGAGTTATTTTTGAAATAGTATTCTGGAAACAGGTGTGCGCGCCCCCCTTAGAACAGCCTGGCGCCGCCCTGAGGGGTTGCGAAGCACATATTGGAAACCGCGGATTAATTCATTTCAATAATGAAACAAATATAAAAAAACGTATTGTAGATATTGCTGTTATATAAATAAAAATTCAAATCTGTAATTCATTGGAGATATATAAGACTTAACATTCTATTTTTATTCAAATTTATTTGCTACCACTTTGAACAAACTAGCTTATACGCACATAAAATTTAGTTTTGGTCACAAAACAGTGAGTGTCATCTCATCTACATTAGACCACTATCATAAGAATTCGTAGCTGTAACACATTTTGTAGTGTTGTATTTCCACAGAAGAATATTTTGACAGTAAAACAATGAAAATATTATTGTAGACATAAGCTTATTATAGTTTAGTGTTTATAATTTCATGTAAATGCAAAATAATCAAAAACGTGTAAAACGATTTAATAGAATTTGAATAATTTGTAACTAAATTTGAATAATGGTACATTTAGATATATTAAACATTCAATTAAACTAATTAGAATTGACATGCATTGTGTATATAAATCTGTCCCGAGGCTTGAGGTCATACAATTATAAAATTGCACAATAGCCCCGTAATACTATCACCATTTAGTGAATGGTAAAATGAACGGCAGTAAACTCTTCAGAGATTAGGTTCTGAGAAGTTTGCATCATAATTTATACGTATATGTTGATTATTAATGAACCTATTAGCCAATTTTAATTAAGAATCTGCGAACGGTATGCAATTTTCATCGAAATGTGGGACATGTTTGAGAATTCTTTGTTTGTTTTTATAATTAAAAAGGTGCACCGCACGTTTAACCATAAAATTTATAATACTTTCGCATATGACAACGAACGGCCTTCTAGCTGAAGATTTTGCTTGTCTAATAATGCGTACGATTCTGAAATTCCCCAGCGTATGCTATTTTATCATATTTCCATTTCGTAATGAATATAATGTACTAAAAAACTTATAGAACAAACTATATGCGAAAAATAAAATAATTCTTGATACAAACACTCACAAACACGCGGTCAGTATCCGCGCGAGTATTGTGAAAGCAACAGACGAAACACTGCGGTTAAATGTCACACGGTGTTTTCGTACACGAACACTTCACAAGTTATTAACTGACTACTTCCTTGTGGAAGAAAATTGTTAACTCTTTTCATATATAATTTAAATTCGATATAAACTTTCTTAATTCGTTGCAGTTTTCGAGAATGCGATAGTACCGCATCGAGCGTCGTAACAAGACTGGCCGCCTGAAACTGTTCGGCGTGCTTCGAATAAGCTGCCTGGAAAGAGACAGTGGTTTTAGTTCACTTATCAGAGCGAGATTCAGTAGGTACGAACTGCTTGAAATTGGTTTTCTGCGTTTTCTCATTAGAACTTTTCTTTTAATTGCGAATATATTTCATGCAATTAAATTGATTTTAATAGTAATTAGGTAAACTTTTGTACGTGACCATTAGCTATTTATTGCTAGGTGAAAAGATTGTTATCATAGTATTAGACAGCGGATTTCAAACTGTCTAACAATATATATTAAATATATATTCAGAAATTTTATTACACATAATTAATTTGAATTCAACATATTTTTTGTGCCGTTTATTAAAATTAGTATGTCTTTTCAAAGGTTTTTGGACAATAAAGTTGGTAATAAAGTAAATCCCGAAACTAGTTGTAAGTGGAATTCTGTCTTAATGCAATTAAGGCATCGTGCCTTAAAGCAAATTGCTGGAACTTCCCGTACCAAAAATTATTATTTTTTTAAAAACGATTAACATTTTTGAAAAAATTTTACTTCGAAAAAATAAGATTTTTAAGAAACTATGAATTGGACAAAAAATTACTTTTTTTTGAAAAAAAAATAAAAAAATAATAAAATTTTTAAATTTTTTTTTAAATGTTTTCTTTATTTTGACATATTTTGAAAAATCTGAACTTTTTTTTCAAAGCAATCGTACTGATTTAACTGCATAGAGACAAATTATAAAGCGCGTAAGCGCCGCGTCGCTGTCTAACGGATAAACATTGGTACGGAACCCATAGAAATGCAAACAAAATTTATACTTATTGTTAAAATCTCTATAAAATATCTGATAATTTGATGCGCATATGTCTAATGATCATTTTTAACCGCCAAATGGCATTTTTTTTTACTTTTTTCGTTAGATCTCCGAAACCGCTAGACCTGCTCTGAAAATTTGATCAATTCTTCATCTTGTCAATAAAAGTAAAATGTTTTTTGAATTATTAAAATCGGACGCTCCGTTCTATTAAAACTGAGTTACCGTTTTTGGCACTTTTTGTCCCATATCTTCGGAACGGCTAGACCTGTCTCCGCCAAAAACTAATCAGCATGTCTCCTTATCAATACGAATCGAATGTTTTTTGAATTATTCAAATTGCTTCATCCGTGTTCCCGAAATCGTCGACGAAAATTTGTATCCGCACACACATACATACACGCACACACACACACATACATCCATTTTTTCTAAGGTATGCCAAAATATTCAGAAATCTAAAGATATATAAAAATTTTCATTTTCGATTTTTTTGCGATTACTATAACTTACCCTACGGGAAGTTGAAAAAATATATACCAGGACTCTTATCATAACTAGAACAAAATTCGCGCTAAGAAGTGTAAGTTAGGGGTCCTATGGTAGTTACAAAAAATATTGTCCAATGTTTTATGTTGGTTACGAAGAAACGTCAGTGTTATTTTTGTATCAGTTGACAAAATGTGTTTCTTCTGTCCGTTTGAGTTTGTGCATTTGTTAATAAAGAATTCACCAGGAATTGCTCTCAAATGCATAGCCCTTTGACAGTATGAATAGAACAGCTTCAAACCCATATGGAGGACATAATTACTACGTAGTACATTGACTTATTAGTCTAATCATAATACACTCTAAGGATAGAGGACAGTTCTAGGAAATTGTGTAAGAAATCAAGTATGAGCTTCTACAAGAAAGACCAAATATTTAGAATTCTTTCACCTGCTCAAAATTGGATTACCATTTTACACCGATCTGAATATACTTGGAAGAAAATGAATTGCTTAAGAATGTCAAATTTTGCACAGGATGACAGACGATGTAATAAACTACAACTATAATGCTTTGGTAAGGCAGTGTGTTTGCTGATTTATATTTCGATTTGATTGTTTATTTATTATATTATAACATTATCTAGTATATTTTGGTTATTGTGTTATTACAAAGCATAATACGAGTGTAATGCCAAATTTAATTTTAAATACCCAATTACTAAAATTCATTAATTTTTATTTCAATTTTGGCGCCATTCATTTGTATGCCAAAAACAATACCCAGTTACTAAAATTCATTAATTTTCATTTCAAATTTGGCGCCATTAATTTGAATGCCAAAAGCAGCGCCCTCACGTCTGAGTGTAGGACCCTTTACCTATCCCTTCCAAAGGTAAAAACGGGAGGAAAACGTTTATATAAGGGCTTCTTAAACTATGGGTCGCGACCCCAAATATTTATATCATTTCATAACATCACGTCTTGATTTTTGTATGCTCTCAACGAATTCTCAAACTATATGTTTTCATATGAATATGTATATCGTTACCAAATCATTTTCAAAAAAAAATTTTTTTTATGTTTCGAAAATAATTCAAATTTATTTTTAATTCTGACTAAAGTTCTAATATACTTCAAACAAATAATTTCAACTTTGCAATTCAGATTATATAATTCTTATAAATGTTAGACAATGTTACAAAGTTTATAATAATCTATTAGAAAACATTCAATATTCTTCGAACATTTCGTTATGGTAGGGAAAGTTCCAGCAATTTGCCTTAAGGCACAATGCCATAGCCCTATGTATATGACATTCATTAACAAGACAAAGGTGTCACACTCATTTTTTTTGTCAATCAAAACTTTATTAAAGTTGAAGACTCAATTTGAAAAAAAATTTACAAATCTATTTGTAATCATATATCGTACGTAAGCTCATTTTATTTTAATATTTATATAATACTAAACTACCAATCAACTAAATAATGGGATTTGCAATTATGTATATATAATAACTATAAAAAAGCTAATTAAACTCTAATGACTCCAAACGATTCTTTGATAAATCCATGAAATTAAAATAATAGATATGGATTCGATAGAACACAACAACGCTTTGTTTTTTATATCACTTTCATAAAGTTCATAAAAATTGTGCATACTGCATATCTGCACTGCTTTTTATATA